TATATATATAAAAAATATAATAAATTGCTCTTCTGTTCTTAATTATCTAATATTTAAGGTTAGCTATTTCAGGAAAAATTTACTTGTTTTTTTGCTATATTCATATGATGCTATTTTGGAATTGACACTTTATGTAAAGAAACACTTCATGTTAAGCATCAAGTTCATTCTCTTACAGTTATGGAACAATTTTTTTAAATCCTAGTCTTTAAGCTCCCAGTCTCTTGGACAACCAGTAGCACAGCCATCAATGTCTCAGCCTGCAACTTTACAGCTCCAGTCTGGCATGTCCCAGGTACAGATTAAATTGGTTTATTGTTTATTATTTTTTTAAAGTCTTGTTCTGAATATAAGGTTAATTTCTCTTTTATAAATTGAGTTCTTTGGTGCCAAAGGTACCTTTAACATTACTCTCTTAAAATGAGTGAATCCCTCAGTTTGACACTTTTAATTTTTTTTCTTCCCATTATTTCTGCAGATATAGTTTTCAGCCTTGGGCATTAGAAACAGAGTATTTTAGGATATGAATTTTAAAATCCATCAGCTATGCTGGTAACCTTCTACACATACGCTTGTTAGACAAGGCAACTTGATCTGTGAAACACTGCTGTGAAACAACAGCAGTGGTATCAGGTCCACCTGAGGATCTCTGTCCTGTAGATGGAATTATCAAAAGCTCGTATTCATTTGTGGTCTGTAGCAGATGTTTAGGGAGGAAAACAAGTGGCAAACATAGTTTGTGGGCTCAGCCTTCATCAGTTTGTGACTGAGGGTTTTTCAAGTTATTTGCATACATTTTAGCTCCGTGTGAATTTTTTTTGTAAACTTGTACAATTCTAATTTTTTAAACTGAGACAGCTTTAACATCTGCAGTATGTAAATTACTAAGGCTTTTTATAGAAAAAGTCTTGGTAATTTGGACAGCAGTCAGTTTCTTTTGCTGTGGATTTTTTTTTTCTAGTTCACCAATTCTGATGCATCAGTTAAATGTGAGTTCTGTCACATTCTCATACTAATGAATTTGTCCTCAGATTATGGTTATTTGTAGTTTAAAAAGCTGTGCTTGATTGCTACTGTGGAGGAGCGTATTTACTACTTGTAAATAAAATGTCATTAGTTTTGCTCAGCCTTTAATTTATTCATTGCACTGTAGCCTGTGTTTCAGTTTTCAGCTCAGCTAGGAGCTATGCAGCATCTGAAGGACCAGCTAGAGCAAAGAACGCGCATGATAGAAGCCAATATCCATCGGCAGCAGGAAGAGCTGCGTAAGATTCAGGAGCAGCTTCAGATTGTCCACGGTCAGGGACTCCAGGTGAGTTAGCACAACGCTTACAGGTTTGATCCATAGGAAATTCAGACATCTAGAATGAGACTTGGGCACTTAATTCCACGAGGTGATCCTCCCTACTCAGTCAGCTGCCATCTGGACCTAATGTGCCTAAAATCCACAGCATCTGAAGCTACTGCTCATGAGGTACCTGCTATTTTTCTTCTGAATGTATCTGGAAGTGCCACAGTGTAGCTTTTCAATGTGAAGCAGCTCAGGCCTACTTTATGCCTAAACCTAAACGCAGAAGGACATAGTGGTTGTTACTTCTTGCAAAGTTTTGTAGCCATTGGAATACTGATCCCAAATGTGCAAGAGAAGCTTTTATTTGTGTTTTAGCTTGAGGGTGTCGAATTCGTACCTTTTTCTTAAACTGTCCTTATCAGGCTGTAGTCCTCCTACACACCCTTCTGGTGAGCTGGTTATACTTTGCATGGTATATTGAAGTAGTTACTGAGCCAGAAAGGCAAGAAGTCTAGGAGATGCATTACTCAGTCTAGCAACTGACTGCCTGATTTCTCTATTTTAACCAGTATGTTTTTGTCTAATTTTGTCATTCTCTTTGGAAGCAAAGAGTGACCCTATTGGGGTTTTCAAGTTAAAAAAAAAAAAAACCAAACCAAACCAAAACCAGAACAAAACTGTACTTAAAACACCTTAAGGAAATAATCTAAATATTTCCAGTGTGGATTGTGAATAAAGAGTAGGAAAAAATAGTTCCTGGCAGTGTTGAGTATTTTGTTTGAATTCTGTTGAAGAGTGGGAGCATGTGCCATTTTCAGTGGGTTTTTTTGTGTCTAGCATGAGCACACCAGCAGTAGCCTGCCTTACAGATGCCTCGGAAGGAGAGATTCACAGCTCTCTTCCCATGCACTGTAGAGGGACGTTACTGAGGCCTGTGGAAACTGTGTGTGGCACATTCTACCTTATTACCCTGTCTGGGGACTAACTTTTCGTAAAGACTCAAATATTTTTGTGCTGAATTCAGTTTATTGCAGTGATGTGGGAAAGTTCAGAATAATCATGGTTTCTTGTTTGCCAAGGAAGCTTATGTTCTTGGTGCTGTGCCTGGATCTATTGAGTCTGAGATTTTCTTTGTTGCAATTAGTTTCACTGCTGAAGACCCTACAAATAGAAGTGTGATCTCAAATGCATTTTGGCTTTAGAGAGTTGCAGACTACATTACATCGTACTTTTTCTTTAAGAGCAAACCTTAACGTTTAGGGCTCTAGAAATGAGGATTCTGACTCTTAGCTTATCAGCTGTAGTAAAGTGAACTCTATATGGTAGCTGGGCCTTTTGCTCTTGGTGGTTGCAGTGCTGTTTAGTAACTAACACAAAACTTTATCTTGTATCGTTTTAAAATATTAAGTTTAGTCTGTCCAAAATATCTTGAACAAATAACAGAACTTTCTTAAAAGCTGACTTGTGGATTTTGTCTTTTAAGATGTTCTTGCAGCAGTCAGCTTCTGGACTTAACTTTGGTTCTCTTCAGCTTGCTTCTGGAAGTTCTTCAAATGTTCAGCAGCTTACACCAATAAACATGCAAGGTCAAGTTGTTCAGACTAATCAGACTCAGACTCAGAGTGGGATGAACACTGGCCATATAAGTACTCCACACATGATACAGCAACAGCCTCTGCAGAGTACTGCAACACAGGTAAAATTCTCATTATTGATTTTGCTGGGTAGAATATATGCTCAAAGCCATAGCTGAAATGCCACAGTAGCTTCCCAGACTACTCCTCCCAAAGTTTTTTTGAACAGTGTCCTCTGGGTCGTATTAATTTCTTCGTGTTCCCGGTTTTACGGCTGAAATGCGTTTATGTTCTTGAAAATGCAATTTCAGATCTTGTTTTTATTTTAAAATTCGTCATGTAAATAATGAATAACAAGCTGCTTTTTTGAAAGACTGGTACCAAGAAAACTTTTAGCTTTTTTTGAATGACTATGAATTTTCTGTTGACAGGGCATATAACATGAGATTTGTGCTAGATAAGCTTGAAACACAGTGTCCAGATGGCAAATAACTAGCGAAGCGTAGGAGCAGGACAAGCTTATGTTGGTGCTTCTGCAGTTGACTTTCCTACTCTTCAGCAATTTCAGTCAGATGCCATAGGTGTAGGACATCTGTAATTTAATAACCTTTTTCTTCTGAGTTTACTCAGTTTCTTTTGAGTCCATGTAAGCTTTTGAAATGCGCAGTCTCTCCTAGTGAGTTCCACAGCTGTACTTTCTGTGACATATGATTGTTTTTTAAACCTGCTACCCCAGCTTGTATACTGGGAAACTCATTGAGCAGCTATTCACTTTTCATCTTCTCAGTCATACCTGATTTCAAAGACCTCTGTCATATGTATCTCCATAGAAGCCTGTTCTTCAGCTTCTGATGGGTTTGACCAGTTTGTGTGTAGAGGTTCTCTATGCCTCTGATCTTTGTGGTCACCCTCCTCTGTACCTTGTCCAAATTCCATACTTTCTTTTTGAGACTGGGAAAGAGGCAGACTATAGTGGTGGATAGTGCTACCATCTCAGCAGACTTTCCAGACTTTCAAGTAAGAAATTGACTGACGTGATGTGCACATCTTGGTCTGTCATGTGTAGAGATGCTAAAGGAAAGGAAATTATGATATTAAACTATACAAGTAGCTGAAAAACAAATGGAACAGAAGAGGTTAATCTAAGAGATTTTCAGATGTCTGAGGGCTGTACAACTACAAATCCGTAGTCAGTAGAAATACCTCTGTACTTTAAGGATTCATTTGTAACAGAAGAACACTGGCAAATGTGAAGTATGGGCAATGGCAATGAGGAGGACAGCTGTAGTACCTGGCTATTTTCAAATTACAATTTCATAAAATATTTTTTCTTTTCAGCATAATCAACAGAATGTACTTGGTGGACACAGTCAACAGTCTTCTCTTGCCAGTCAGTCACAGAACACAGTCTCGGCACCTTTATATAACACTATGGTGATTTCTCAGCCAACAACAGGAAATGTGGTCCAGGTTCCTTCTAGCTTACCACAGAACAACCACCAGAATACTGCTGCAGTAACCACTTTTACACAAGATAGACAAATCAGGTAAATCTTCAAGACCAGTATTCAGATGACTTGCTGTAATGATATGCTTACATAGCTACTTCATATTACAAAAGGAACTGAAGGAGTATTAAAAAAAAAGTGATTTACTATTTTAACTAATATGGATACAACTGATACACTAAACTGCCCAAAATAACATGTTCACAGGTTTATCAAAACCCATGTGGTTATAGCAAAGTACGAACCTGACAAATCTGCATTTCTGAAGTGCACATGATCCTTGGTTTTTTTAAGGGACTTCAAATGTCTTTTTCTGTTAACAGATTTTCTCAAGGTCAGCAACTGGTAACAAAACTTGTGACGGCCCCAGTGGCGTGTGGAGCAGTAATGGTACCAAGCACGATGTTCATGGGACAGGTGGTGACAGCGTATCCCACTTTTGCTGCCCAACAGCAGCAGCCACAGACTTTGTCAATAACACAGCAGCAGCAGCAGCAGCAAAGTCAGCAAGACCATCAGCAGCAGCTCACCACAGTTCAGCAACCAGCTCAGCCGCAGCTGACCCAGCACCCACAACAGTTCCTACAGGTAATGCAACATTCTCTACAAATTTGTCAAAATCCTGATGCTGTCAGCATTGACAGCTTATCCTAGGGGTGTCTTATCTGAAAACAGAGTGCTTAAAATAGTAACCTACAAACAAGCCTGATGCACGAGGTAAGTTTATTCTGCAGCCACCCTCTAAAATCTTAAGACTTAAAGGAGAGGTGGTCTTTCCTGCAGCTTCACTCTATACTTTATCCTATTTTAGATCTTCTTCCCTGTGAATTGCTGCTCTTGATTGAGCATGGTGTGAAGAAACAGATGTTTCCCTTGTGTTTTCTTTGCATTCACATACTAATGCAAGAAGATGATATCAAGCAGAATTGGTTGATCTGGAAAGCATCATGCAGCCCAAAGCAAGGCACCTCCCTGTAAGATGAGGCGTAAACATCTGCTTGGGCTACAGGGGAGGCTGAGCAGCAAGTAACCTTGTAAGGAAAGCATAGAGAAGAACCTTGTTTTACTGGAGAAGGAAGAGAGACTGGGTCAGAAGAGAAGGAAACAAAACCCAAGATGTTTAGAGATAGGAAATCTTAAAAAGAAAGGAAAAGAACCAGAAGCTAGAAAGAATTGATAGAGAAATCTGTTGCCATTTATTGATTCCAGTTAATTGCTGGCACACAGGTCACTCTGCAGGTGATGCTGGTGAGGGAGATGTAATGGTAGTTAGAGCACAAGAGAGGAAGTGCCTCCAAGGAGTAGGTTGAAAAAAATGTTGATTTGGCCTCTGCTCTTGCTCTCCTGTGTTAACTATCACGATGTAGTTTGTGCAGCTTTTTAATATCCTTTAACTGCTCTGGGAATGTTTTTTTTTAAATTGTTCCTTAAGAGTATATGAAATTAAAAATCCTTATTTTGCAAGTATTTCTTACTATGTGTGGTGTCCCATTTGCTCTGAATTTGGGAACCTGTGCATAGGTGGAATGTATACAAATGCAGTAAGCAATTGGAGGCTTAACCTACATGTACATGCACAACGAATGGTTACAGTTCTGTTTAGGGCTGAGTAAAATTTTCTTTCACTAGGTCATTGACAGAAAATACTGACTTGTTGAAAAAATCTTTCATGGGAATATACCAGTTTCAGTCTTGCATCAGGCAAAGGCTCTTCAGCTGCAAGTGACTCTCAAAAAGAGAGCTGAAGTGACTTGAATTTCAGCACTCATTTCAGACTCTTGAACTGAATCAAACCAGGGTGCAGATTTGAACGTGTTCTCTGACAAGTCAAATAAATACTGTACAACAATGATGTTCATCAGGTTGGTGATGTCTGTATCTCTGTTTCTGAAATTAGAAGTTTGTACAACTTTGATTTAATTCTGTTGAAGCAGAAGATTTATGAAAGATTTAGGACAGGAACAGACTTTTGGAGAATTTTTTTTCTAGGCAAAAGTTCAGTATTTTTAATACAAACTACTGAAGTGCTAGAATTTGCAGTGAAGCAAATGCTTTTTCAAAAGAGAAAAGTGCTTTTTCCTGCCTCTGCTCACTGAGGCTTCTCACAGTCTGATTCTGTAGGTGCAGCAGTCAATGTAGTTTTTCTGCTTCAGAACATGTTTCAGAATTGAGATGTCCAGGTGCATTTGTATCCATCCTTTGTTGCTTTTCTTCATTAACTGCCATTTTTTGTTTCTAAGAAGATTAATGTTAAAACTATTTCCAATAGTAATAAATCTCCTTCAAAGGGGGATGTTTTTTGGGTCTGCAAATGGGGTGGTTTCTTTGACTGTTCATTTTGGCTGTGGGAGATGTGACCTGTGCCAAGCCACACACATTTGTTTTCCTCATGTGACTGCAGCGACAGCCACCCACACTTGCTCAGGTAGATTCCTTAAGCCCTGTTATGCTCTTCTGGTTTGAAATGGAGACAAATTGCCACGTGTTCCTACCCGCTGTCACAGGAAATTACAAAGACCAGTTACAGCTGCTTTATTAATTGGTCCGATGCTCTAATGAACCTTATTAAGCAGGATCAAATCTTTGTATTGTTTCTTTTGATAAAAATAACAGGTCTGTGTTTCTCAGTGCAGCAGGAAAACAATCTGTTTCTCTTTCCATGTTTTAGACATCCAGGTTACTTCATGGAAATCAGTCAGCTCAGCTTATCCTCTCTGCTGCTTTCCCACTACAACAAAGCACTTTTACTCAGTCCCACCACCAGCAGCATCAGTCTCAGCAGCAGCAGCAACTTTCACGGCACAGGACTGACAAGATGACTGATCCTTCTAAAGTTCAGCCACAATAGTGTGGGGCTCTGCCTCTCTTTGAAGCAAACTACCAAGAGGGGGCTGCTCCACACACAGTTGCACTGAGGCTACAGAGGTAGCTGCTTGAAGGCTTTCTAACACCACAGTGTTGAGACCTACTTCTGACTTCTGGAATCTGCTAAGAAAAGCCACAAGGTGATGATGGGGACATGGCCAACTTTGATAGTTGCCCCATTTTCTGTGTTCTAAAGGATTTGCTACGATGTGTTAATTTGTCCAGGTGAAATCTCAAATTGTGACTGAAATGAGAGGGATGTTGAAAATATTGGTATTTTTATCAATCCCCTGTACATTTTCAAAGTATTAAAATGGACATGGAGCAATTGTTTGAATTAGCAGAAAAAAAATGCCAGGAATATAGTCCAAAAACCATCTAATTTTTTTCAGATGATTATGGGACAGTAAATATTTTGAAAATGTTGTGTGAAATCCAGTTCTCTGTTGTACAGATGCTGTAAAATATTGTGTATATGTCTGCATAAAAGGAGAAAGAGCAAAATATTTTATATGATGCATGAAAATGTAATCTGTTATTTGTAGGTTTGAATATGTTTCCCTAAATTCTCATGCCATACTCAGACTAATGTTTTCCTCTGTTCTACCCTTTTGTTTACAACATGATGCATCATTATTTTCACCCTTAATGTGGGCACAAGTCTGTTGTTTGTGCTTTGTCTGTGACGTCAGGGTTTGTTTGGTGAGGTATAGTGTTGGTTAGTTGACTTCTCAAGGTTAAATTATTGATGAAGCTGTTTGAACTGGTGATCATGCATCAGGGTTCAGGACATTCAGATTCATAAATATCATCCATCATTTCATAATTAATTCATTGTTTTATTTGAAAAATAGGAATTTGCACTGCTTTCTTGCGGATGGTTTGGAATTTTATTCCCCAAAGCTATCTTTTGATATAGTTCATAGTTGGAAATATTTATGTAAAAGGTTTAAAAAAAAAAAAAAGACAGTAATTTTCAAGAATGTTTCAGTTATAGGAGTAATTTGCACAAAAATATATTTACATTTAATAACCTTTTGGGCACTTTTTAACCACTTTCTCTGTGGTCAGAATTGTAACTTGTTAAAATATGTTGGAATCTTTTTATTCTCCTTCAAAAATTAGTCAGAACTAATTCAGGGTCATTTTAACAACAACAACAAAACCCATAGTGCCTTGATTTTAATTCAGGTGATAATGTTGAACATCTTGAATTACAATGTCTTGAATCTGTAACCATTTTCAATTTTGAAGTCTTAGTACATTGTCAGACAAACTTGTGTATCTACTTCATAGATATTTCTGTATTGTGTTGATTTCAATAATGGTCTGAGTTGAGACCATGAGCATTTTTGAGTGGTGCTCCCCCTCAAACATTAGCCAGAAACAGAGGAGTCTCTAAGACCTTGAAGGTAATACTCTTAAAAGATCAAAAAATCTAAAAGTATAGAACTCTTTTTGCAAGAGGAGGAATAGTAAGCAGGTTGTGGGGTTTTGTTTGGGTTGTTTTTTGTTTTTTTTTTTATTAAAATCATTTTTGTAGCATTTAAGAGTGTGTTTTGGGGGAGATCATGATCGCATTTAACACTACCAGGCTATTGATTTAAGAGATATCACTGAACTAAGACTTCAGAAGGCAACTTCACTTTATAAAGAAAATAAAAAGTTCCAACAGATACAATGTGCTATTTTAAGTAAATGTTCAGTAGGTTTTTATGGTACTAGCTTGTGGAAACCAGAACTCAAGAGGAAAATGAATAAATGCTGATAGATCTGATAATTAGAAACAGAAACAGGAAAAGCAATTAAAATTTTAGTACTAGGGAGAGAAAGCTGGATTAATCTTGAATACTGAGGAGGAGCTGAATGAATGTATCCAAATGGCGATGGACTATTTTGTACTATGAAGCGGTTTGATTGTATTGCTGGATGAACCAAACCCGCAGGAAGGTCACGCCCATTTAGCCAAGCATTTTGGGGACGTTTTGAGGCCAGCCTGTGCCTCTGCACGTGTCCCACCATTAGATCTTCGTTATTCCCCAGCTACAAAGCAGGAGTTTGGCACCAAAAAGCATGGTAGGGAACAAGGAGGGAGAGGGTGAGAAACACAGAACCAAAGAGAGTCGGATTGCTTTCTGCTCCAAGAAGCCTCTCACAACCTGGAGCGAGGCACGGATGCAAATACCAAACATGGCAAGGAACAATTCCCCTTCTTTAAAGGGATTTCTGGCATTCTCTGCACTGGAATAATCGTCAGAAACCTGTTTCTGTAAAGTTCTAGGTAAAGAAATCCTGCCTTGCTCTACTATCCCTACCATGCCATTCCACCTGCTTCTAAACTAAGCTGCGTTGACCAGAGGTCTGTGCTGTCAGCACTTTGTGCTTCAAGGAAAATAGGTTAGATCATTTTTGGGTTTTTTAACCAATTACAGTAATAACGTAGCACTAAAAAAGAAAACTGGGAGAGCTTTAATAGTGCTGTTAGAATTACTGAATATGGTAAAATAGGTTTATTAAGCTATTACACTGAGAATTGCAGAAAATAGAGATACCAGCCAGACAGTTAACGATGCAGCTTTTTATATAAAAGCTTCATTTGAACTTCTCTTCCCGTTTCCCCCTTCCCAGATACTCTGGTGTGCTGCTATAGGTCTGTCGGTAAAAAGGCTGAACTAGGTGGGAGAGAGATTAGATGATGACAATAGCATGGCTGCTGAAAAAAGAACTATAGACATGAATGCTTTGATCAAGAAGCTTTTTGTAACCTCAGAGAGAGGTCGTTCAATTACAGAACTACCAGCTAGCAGGTAAAGTACAGAAAATGGGGAAACTCAAACTGGAAAAATGCAACATGCATTTGAAGAACTCCTGCCATGGATCAGGCAAACTTTTTCACAAAAGTGAGCGTGTAGAAGTCGGCCCAGCCTGTGTGCGAGTGTGCCGCTGCTCTGCCTCACAGCTTCCCCTGTCGCCGAACCGACCGCTGAACTGTCCTGGGTTTTGTAGTGGGAAGAGGACCAGGCTATTGCCTCTTTCTTAATCAGCCTTTTGCTTCTGCCCGACTCATTTCCTACTGTCATAGACTTATTTGGAAGATGCTAATGAACAGCCCGGTAACGAGCGCTGTGGTGTGGCAGGCTCCGGAGCGCGGCCCCCACAGAGTGGCTCTGACAGAGTGGAAGGAGCCTGTCAGGGAGAGGGTTGCGTTTATGAAGAAAGGGGCTGGGGATGCCCCACGGGGGGAAAAGACAGCTAAGAGATAGACATTGTTTGCCTGCAATGGGTGAGGATGTGAAGAAAAGCTTCTAGGATAACTTCAGAGAAAAAGAATATAGCTATTTTTATATTATATTTAATATATATTATATTTGTATATAAATATGAAAGGATTCTAGTAGGAGCTCTCCATATGCCTTCCATTTCACCTAGAAGGTTTACCTTCTGCACTATGGTTCCAGTGTGTCACCCCCTTTCTGTGGGCACCTTGCCTACTGCCAAACACCAAAATTAGTAACCCAGTATCCTTACAAGAGATAGGTTTCATTTCAGCTTTATGTAAAAATGAATTTTAAAAAGCTATATCAGGCATTTTTTCACAGAAAAAGAAATTCTCTTTTAAGACTCAAATAGCACTTTTTTTTTTTCTTTGGAGTAACAACAAGCACTTTACTGAAAAGACTATTTGAAAAACAGTTTATTTCTATAGTCAGTGAAACTGTTAAAGGTGGGGGCATCGAGGAATAACATGCATAAAACTGTCACGAGAGACATTTCTGGAAAATGTTTCTTTAATACGGTGATCCTTTGAGGCTCAAAGTGCAAGATTAAAAAGGCTTCTAAAACTGGTTGGCTTTGTGTTTTATATGGCCAGGGGAAGGGATTAATGGTGGCAGCTTCCTTGAAGGAGACTTTTTAAGTTGCACAGTTGCCTATGAGAGAGAATCACCCAGAGGCTCATTTGGCTGCTCAGTAGTTCCAAGTGTCCCTTAGGATTATAATTTGCGTGAAAAACGTTCTGAAGGTTTAAAGATGTGGCCTTTTATCAAATGTTGAAGTTGATTTAAGAACCGTTTATATTTTCAGAGATGTAACCTGGGTATTGTTATGAGTGTTTTAAATGTTGTGGCATCAGGAGATGTCAGGCATGTCAGATTCGTAACTTTCTCTAGTTCAAATAATTATTAAAATTAGATGTACAGTCAGAGGGCAGGAAAATGGTTATTTTGATTAAAAGGGAAAAGAGACTAGTTTTAATAATTAACTTTTTATTTTTTTACTTATCCCTGGTGGAAAAAGTTCAAGAGAATTAAGTGAATTTGGAGTTTAAAAAAAGAGATATTTAAACAAATCATACTAGATGAGATGACTGTGAGAGAAGATTTGGAATTGTCTTGGTTGTCCATGAGACCGGATAGTTGCTTTTTCACTGTCATGATTTTTTAACACTACATTCCTTGTCTTTTTTTTCTTTTTTTTTTTTTTTAAAAAAAAAAAAAAACAAAACAGGTGATTTTAAGCTCTGCTATGCTTCATGCCATGTCATCTGCATGAATTTTGCCAGCATGGTATGCTATATTCAAAGAAACTGTACCTAAATAAAAAGGAGGGGGGGGAAACACAAAACACTGTGTCTGAACAAAATACTGTATGGCCTAACAGAGACCCCAGCTAAGACTGAGAGATGCTGCATTAATAGACAATCAATGGGTAATTATTTATGAAACACTTTTGGGAATGGTCTTAAAGATGTTACTGCTTTGAAAGCAGTTGGCAAGTCGTGGGGTTTTTTTAACAGGAAAGGTAAAAATTATTTATTTTCAAATATCAGATTGAATTTTGCGTTTTTAAGCAGTGTTGTTTTCACAGTGTCTTGGGTTTCAGTTTTGTTTTGTATTTTTTTAACTGGCATTAGATTTGTATACGTAAAAGAAAACAAACATAAAAGCCCTAGTGCCGCTCATATTGACGTCAGGAAATGTAGATACAGTTCCCTGGTGTTCATGTGACCATTACTAACTGTCAATTTTTTTTAACTGAATAAATGTAACTCATTTAAAATTTTGCTTTCTGTAGCTTCTAAGGTTCTAGAAGTTTTTTTCTGAGTTGCTTGATGTCAGTTTTATCCAAATGTCACAGTGGAGCACTCTTCCCCTTCCCCTGACTGTAACAGAGGCACTTTCTCTCCCTCTCCCCCTCACAGAACCAACTTGTGAGAAGTTGCTTGATGTCCATTTTATCTTCTCTCCCCTTCCCAGACAAATGACTTGTGAGATTTCAGTAAACACGCATACTGTATTTTTTTTTCCTTGTCTTCTCTCTGTATCTCTTTATAAATTGATGCCCCACTCTAAAGGCTAGAGACCTTTGATTTGTGTATTTACATTACTGCCTTGGGATTTACTCACACAGCACTTGTGTCAACACCTACAACTTAAAACTACTTTTGTGCCTTCACATTGTGCGTGGTGGGTTAGCAAGCACAGCCCTTCCCTCATGTTCTGGCATGGGCAAAGCACCCTCCTTTAATTCCTTCAGCACCCCTCTCTGGCTATTTCTTCTACGGGTGAGTTGCCAAAACCCAGTACTTTCAAAGGAGTAGAGATGATCTGAAGTGTCTGGCACATCACTGAAAAAGGAAGGAGACTTGCATTTAGCTGAGAGCACAACTCCTTCAGAGCAGAGTATGCAGCTCCTGAAGAGCTGCGTGGTAAAACGTAACCTGCCAGGGTGCTCTAACCCCTTCTCCCTGATCTGTTTACAGTAATCAAAGGGCAAGCATTAATAATTTGAAATTAATTAAATGTTCAAAAGGTGGGAGGAAAGGAAATCCTGCAATTGAACGCTTGGAGAAAATTAAAAATATGCTTGGCCTTTTCTACAGTCTGCAGTTCTTTCTGTAGTACAAGAGTAGAGGCCCGTGTGAAGATACTGGTCTTTTGCCTTTGGGAATCGAATAACACTTGTGTAAGTTGTAAATTCTATATGCTGCAAGCACTCTGTGCCCTAGGAGTCAAATCAAAATTGGCTGTAGCAATGCTGTAGTTGTAGTTAAAAACTGTCAACGCCCACCAGTGATAAGACCAATAGCATGTAGCAAGCAAGATTATCAGTTTTCTTAAATGTGAACTTTGGATACATCAATATATTTTCCCCATAAACTTATCAAAAATAAGATCTGTAATTACAACTGCTGCCATACCTGAGGCAATGCTGGTCACTGGCAGGCTGCTGTCGTGCAAGCTTACAAACAAAACCCCTGCTTGCATGAGAAGGTAACTTAAGTACTCGTAAAGATTAGCAATCCAAAGGTTAGGTGCACTTCTGAGTCTCGGGAATTAGTGATATAAATTCCGGAAGATTTCAGCTCTTCGAGGGTAATGTAGAATAAAAAAGTTGTGGGTTTTTTAAATACGCAATACCTAGGACTAGCAGGTAGGTACGCTCAGCCACCAGCCCCCTGCTGGAAGGTGTTGTGGAGGTGCTCGCCCAGGCGGAGGGGGTGGCAGCACTCCAGCAGCCGGCCCGCCGGGCCGAGGGGCAGTTCCGGCAGCAGCCGGCCTCTCAGCGCTCCGGGAGCAGAGCCCCTCTCCAGCTTCTCAGTTCCCACACCCGGCACCTGGCCAGCGCCTCTCCGGGTTGTACTGCCCGAGGAAAAGCAGGCCTGCTGGTGAGCGGGACCTCTGCTTCCATTCTTGAAAAGCTTTGTCCTGGCAGAACAGAAGACGAGAAGTTGACTTTAACCTTCACGTATTGCACTTTGCCGCGTACCGTGTCATGAGACATGCTTTAACTAAGGACTGGGAATAGGCACCTCCAAAAATCACCAGCACAAGCTTTTCTCATTTTAAACATCTCGGCTGATGTGATGTTTTTCATCCCAGTAGAATTGACCATCATCTCCATTTTATTCTGTTGCCTGGAAATGAGTCGTTGCAGGCAGCGTGCACTTTTAAACCTCTGCTGCGTGCACGTGAAGCCAGAGATGCAAATTCTCACTTTGGGGGTTCCTTTAGCAGACACTGAAATTGGCTGCATCTCACCCCAGCAGGGAGAGCCACAGGCCAGAAGGGAAACCTGTGGTGGACAGTTGCCTATTGCCCACGTTGCAGATGCCATGAGTTGAAGAGCCTGCCCTCCATCACTTAAATGCTCACTCACTGCATTTCCCAAACTCCAGCTACAAAAGAACAGGAAACTGGGTAGTACTGCAGCAATTAAAACTTCAGCTGTTGCCCCAGCAGTTTCTTTCATATTCTAAAATGCAAGGCAACTCCCAAACTTACCTCCATTTAAAAGAGACAAAGCATTATTAAAGTTTTCATACCAAACAGCTGCAGCCCCCGAAGCGCCACCAGCTAGGAAGTGTCTGTGCACAGTGCCTCAGGACAGGAGCATTTATAAAGCCACATGGGACATGCTGCCCCACCATCAAGCCTGCGCCATCATCTTGGACCTTGAAATCTTTTCATCCCCACCCCTTCCAATGGCTTCTCCAACTGCCTGCGGCAGCGCAGCCACCACCCACTGCAGGGCTGCACCATGGGTGCGGCTCCATTCCCTTCACACCAGCAAGCTGATGCAACACAAAGCACGGAACTTACCTCCCCAGCTGCCTGGCTACAATGTCATAGCTTGAGCACTTCTCATGACCATCACATCTCCTCTGCCCTTGCTCTGGCCACGCACAGGTTTTGCTCGGCCTCAGTGCTTTAACACATGGGCTCAATGCTCCCCCAGGTTGGTACGTAACTTGTCAGGACAGCGTCTCAGAGGAGAGGGAGCCAGTGCCACGGCTGGCTGCTGAAAAGGCAAAGTAATCCGTTCCCATACGCCCAGCTCTGCTCCTAAACACATTTTGGCTCACTGAGGATCTTGAAGGAAGAAGTTAGATGAGGGTACAACACACCAGCCTACTGAGCTGCACAGCTCATTCAATCGGGCATGCTCCATGGTTCCTACGTCAACTCTTGGTACAGGAAGTAGAGAGACAAGAGTTTCTTTTACCCCAAGATCAGTAAGTTCCACTTTGGGCACAGGGTGGGAAAAGGAGGGGCAGGGAATGAAGTATTGCTCACATCCATCAGCATCTCAAGTGCCAAAACACTAACCTTTGGCTCCCTGCCCTCTCAACTTCAGAGGGCATCACAAGTCACTGCAGCATCAGTCCAGATCGTCTCATGGTCTGCATGTAAGCACCTTTCAAAGCTCTTACTAAAATTTCATGAACTATCTCATTTTATAATAGATTTCCAAGGACAAGACAATGTTTGTGCTTTAAAAAAAAAAAAAACAAAAAAAAACACACACACACAAAAAAAACACTAAACTCACTATTTGAACTAACTCCCACCTGCCCAGTCAAGCACTAGAGAGCAGCCAAATATGTTACTGATTAGTCAAAAGCATCAGGTACAAGTTTTTAATAGTTTACTATAGAAATGTGGAAACTGCAGAGAATTGTTCTGTACCATCACACACACTTCCAGAAAAACCACATTAAATAGCTTCACTTTTCTGTTGATCCTTGTTGTTTTTTTATCAAAACAGCCTTAAGCAGCACAGGTAAGGCTTGGAAGACTTCTATACTAGAGTACGGCCAACTGGTTTGGCTTTTCGGATTCTAGGCAAGGATGAACCACAGCACTGCGGACACATCTGTATGAACCCACTGTAGTCCAGCAGCACCACTTTTGATTAATACAACAATCAGTTGTCCAGTAAATAGTTAAAGGTTTAGGGTCTTCCCTATTTTGTGTTTCCTATTCCTACCATGTTTTAACGTGACTTCTGCCACAAATCCCCTCCACGCAGGAGCTGAAACACACCCGGGACAGAGCGTGTGCTTCCAGGCTGTGGCAAAGAAGAGTCTGCACGTCTTGGCTACCACATTTGGTTCAAAACAAAAACCACAAACAAACAAAACAGAGCCCAAAACCGCACCACCAAACCAACGCAGTGCCTTCCCTCGTAACGAGCGGTGGCACTGCCAGCAGCACCCTTCCTTCGGGCCGAGACGTGGACATTCAGACCTGGAGCCTGAAACTGTAACCTGTGCAGGACGGGCACTGCACCAAGTGTCAGAGTTTGAGCCATATGGCATTAAGGGGTTTTCTGGGCAGAGAAACCTCAGAGAAGGATTAGGGACTGCTCTGTTTGGGACCTACAAATGGAACAGTCAACTTTATATAGCTCCATCTTACTTGAGCTTCAAAAAAAAAAGGCAGATTCATACTACCAGAAGACACATTCTATTTCACAAGACTGAATAGGTCTGAGTGGGGCACTGAAGCCATTAGCTCAGAATCCAAATCACTACTGAAGAGTGGAGCAAAGCATGTATTTCTGCAACCCATCTACCTTCAGCAGTCACCATCTGCAGAGTCTTTCCAACACTGGCATTGATCAGTACCCAAAATAAATTCAGTAATCTCTCCTCACCTTAAGTACATAATCACTAGGTAAACCTTTGTGGCAGGCCTTACAGGAACCATCAAAAATAACACTGAAAATAACTCAAATGGAGACACCATGTTTTATTAATACTCCTCCTCCAGATTACATTTCTACTCCTAAAAAGGAAAACAAGAACGCATCTAAACCTAAGAATTCTATTATTGTTCAATCCTGGGAATGGAACGTTAAGTAGGACCGTTTTATTACTTTCCATATACTTTTAATATTTCAAAACTCAAAAAAAACCCAAAAAGGTCAAATAATACTAGCTCCAGACAGATTGCATATTGAACATAGTAGGTTGTTAATCACCACACATCAATTTCCTGATAAAAATCCCTGATTAAGAAGTTTTCCCTCGAAGTTTATAAATTCTCTGTCGGTGGCTCAGCCACTCAATGGTATAGGAACTGCTCCCAGGATTCCTCTTGCTGAGATTATCCAGCCTCGGGCACACCCTGGAACCGAAGTCCTTGGAGGGGGGAGGCAGCAGCTTTCTCCTGAATGCCTTCTGTTGAGCAACACGGAACGAGACACAGTCTGCCTCAAGCAGCCTTAAGAATCAGCTCTTGAAGAAACAGGAAGGGTGGCCATGTGTAACAGAGGAAGAAAAGAGGAAGCCTCAATACTTTTCAGAATATATCCTCAAAACTCAGCTGAGCCAGGTTCAGCAAGCAAGAAAACCACATGAATCCTGCCAAGGGAGCAGGCACCATATAAACAAAGCAGATGACAAGCAGATCTCCACTGCAGAAGCTGTCCATAAGTGTGTCAGTCCCATGAATCATACACTATAAAAAGTTCAGTGTCTCATCTTCAGTGCTTATCTATCATTCTGTACATTATATACAAAAATGCACAAGGAGAGCTGCTTGATGCTTCCAATCCTTGCTCTTTTGCAGTGATGAAAAATTTTAAAAACCAGAGTCTGGACTTATAAATAGTGCAGAAAAAGCAAACGCTAAGAAGACAATGCCTCCTATGATTGTCACTGAAAAGAGAACAAACCAGAAAGAAATCAGATACTGAAAGTTAAACAGCTTCCATGACACATTACAGTTTTTTTTTTAAAAACACCTAATTCTCAAACATCCCTACTTTAAAATTTATACTGCAAAGAGTGGACATGGTTTCGAGCTCAGTGTCAGGGTGCCTGTATGTCATCCCACTGTCTAACTGCACCCACAAGAACGTTCTGTGGTCCTTAGAAGGAAGCTGTGCTTTACTCATTACTTTAGCGAGCATAAAACTGAGGTGGACACCTGCTCTTCAGTATTAGGCTGTGTGGGGGGAAACAAGATACAATATTCTCATGCTGAAGCCAGCCATCAGTTAAGAGTGACATGCTAATTAACATTTTTTCTGCACAGTTTAGGTAACTATATTTAAAATGACGGTATCAAAAACATTAACTCTCTGCAATGGCCACAATCTGCTAGAGGCCGGGACAATATTCTGAAAGCACCATGGTGTATGTTCTCCTACCCTTCTCTAAACACACTACCAGGCTAGATGGATCTTTGGTCTAACCTAAGAATGCTACTCCTATGGCCAAGATCCACACTGAGCTTCTTAGGAGCACATTAAGTCATTGACAGATTAGCGTTTCATCACCAATCTCCTTGGCAAACAACGGAATGTATGTTTCACTTTTTGCAGTGAAGATGTTTTTTTTTTACAACCTCTGCAACTAGAGAACAAATATTCTGAATTAACACTTATAGGCAGCAGCTTCACAGAATCCTTTAGGGAGGAAAAAAAACCAATCACTACATCACAGAATTGACAGCTGAAGCCAGCTGCAAACTCATCTAAGGAAACACAAATGACCCAATGTACCCTCACTAGTCCTTCCGTGGCACACACTCGGACTGGACGGCGCAGGGCCACCCGCTGGGGCAGAGCTCACTACAGGGCTGGGCGGGCAGGGGGGATGGAAGAGACAGACTCAAAAATAACAGAGTATTCGGGTTTTCCAAAAGTTTCGAGAAAGACTGTTCTCAAGCAGGTAGCCACTTACCCCACAAACATTACCAGCAGGAAATGTGTTTTTTTGGTTGGAGTGTTTTCACTTACCAGTTCTAACAGAAATTTTCTGTGCTATCATTCTGCCTCCAATAACTGCTAACCCAGTGCACAGGCAGTGTCCCACTGTTCCTCCAACCGCCACTCCATAGGGGTCCTGAAGGAGAAATGCAGAAGGGAAACATCAGCACAGCTGAATGGCCACTAGTCCTGTGACAAAGACCTCTTGCCCTGGAGGAGCCACATCTCGATTCCCTGGTGGCACACCGCTGAACATGGAGGATACTCTCTGATGTCTCTTTTGCTCTGCAGTCCACCACTGCCTTAAAGACCAGGAACGGTGCACGTCAGCTAGCAAGACAGACTTACATCTAAACCTGACTAATCTAGGAGCATATGGCATGTTTCAACCAAGAAGCATCTTTAAGTTGTTAAATAGAGAGCCAGAAATCACTCTGCTGTACTTAAACAATGAAGCAGTCTCCAGAGGGAAGGTGGCAGCTGTTGAGAAACACAGTGTGCATTGGCTGGAAGAACACCAACCTAATTACAGAGAAAGAGAAAAATAAATCCATGAACTCCAAATGAAAGCTTTCAGCAGCTAAAACATTCCAGCTCCTTTGTCCAGCTTTGCAAGCTCATGCTCTGCAGTTTAACCACTACTCCAATCTTCCAAAGAGGGAATTATGAAAGAATCTAAGTGCAGAGGATAACAAACTGTTTTCAGAGCTCACTGCCAATGACAGCTTTCACGTTGCTGCATAATAAGCAGCTACTCAATACATGAACAACACTGACTGGCCAAACCAACCAAAACCGCAAGCTAGTGAGAAATGGTGGTGAGCATCAAGCAGAGGACAGGTAGGAAACCACCAAGAAGTGTAGCTCAGAAGCAATGCTGTGTCAGCAGAACACTCTTGCCTCCAAGAACAGGACCCAGGTTCCTGGAAATGCCTGTTTTCCTGCGGTCAGCTGTGACCTGTACAGCCTGTGCTGGCAGAGGGTGGATCTCACCTCCACCCCATCCCCTAGAGCCATCTCTGGAAGGTGACTAGCTATGAGGCAACGGCTTCCCTCCAGCATCATGTCTCCAGGAGCAGAAGTTCTCAGGTGCAGCAGGTGAGGTGAAGCCAGATGAGTAGGGCACTATACAGTTTCCTTCTCTGTTTCCTTAAACAATGAACAATTCTTATACAGAGTAAACTATTAAGGCATAAAATCAATTTCTTAAGGATTGTTGTCAGGATGAGGTTCACTTAACTCATTCCACTGGTGTATGCATTACGACAGATGAATTATCACCCTTTTTTTCCTTCAAAGGAGCCAGGTTTGTTGTGACAGGATGGACACCAGGAGCTTCATAAACAGTCATGTAGTATTTTGTTTCCTTTTCACTGAAGAAGGTGTGGTCGCAGCTGACTTACGCCACTGCTCAAATCTCCATATAAAGATAAATCCTTTCCTCATAAGCATTTTTGTAATGTTCCTGCTATGTAACTTTGTACTACGCAGGCAAGGATTTATCTGGATATAATATGAAAAAAAGTATAAAACTATCCTGCAGATTAAATGAAAAAAGATCCAGATCATAATCATTCACTGGTTCTGAAGCCACAGCCAAGATATCTTCAATTCATTTTTTGCAGTATGTGTTTTCGTAGCACTTATACAAACACTTCATAACTAAAGGCACGACAACCCACAGTCTTCCTTAGTCGCCACATGTGCAGCACTTCACAAACCAGACCACAGTCTCTGACAGACGCTGCCTAACGGGACACTCAGAAAATGCAAACCAGAATTCAACAACCACCTGTGAAAAGATGGGCTTAGGCAACTTGCCTAGCGCCATATAAAAACTTGGGCAGAGGCAGTGATGATCTCACATTTTCCAATGTGACACGTAATTGCCTGAGCAATGAGATCATCCCCTCGTCCTGCTGTTCCCTGCCTCAGTAGCTCTAAGCACCTTCCCTGCACTGTACGAGACAAGAGGCTCCTTCAGATTACAGCCTCCTCGTTACACAGCCCTCATTTATCCCTAGGGAAGGTCTGAAAACACACCAAAAGAAGCACGAGTCCAAGGGGAAAAAATATGTATTATCTCACTGCATAGAAGAGCACAGGCAAGCTACTCATGTTTATTAAAAGCTCGACTACATGCCTTAATATTCCTTTAAATATAACATCGTTATATATATTCCAATTATCATGCTGACTATGATTTCATTTACAGTACTACTTACTGCACAGCAGTTTAGAGTTTGAGTTCTACACACTGTACCATAACACTTACATTTTTAAAACCAGATCTTTTTAACAGCCTTAAGTTTACTGAGATGAAGGTCTCTTTAAAGCTGTGTTAAAACTGTATGACCACACAGATCAAAGAAACGTCCATCCTATGTCTCTCAGCACTGTAACAAAAAACAATTCTATTCAGCTGCATGATAAAACCCAACTATTTCCAGACATGCCTGTGCCATCCTGATCTTATAAGTAGTTTTAATACTACACAAAGCTTCAGTACATTTATTTTCAGGTCCTGGCACAGCTATAACACCAAGTAAGGCACAGCAAGCAACCAGGTGTCCATCTGATACCTTCTGCAAGAGTATTTTGCCTGTCCCACTTCTCTGCAAGCAACCCAAAGAGGGCAAAAGAACTGTGGACATTTTGAAACACTCACCTCTCTGGCAGCCAACACTATGGTTGTTAATTGGGAACGATCCCCCCATTCTGCTAAAAACGTTAGAGTAAAAGCTTGAACAAAGATTGGAGAAATAAAATGTAGCCACTTCTTCTGAGGTATAGTGGTGCCTGGCCCCGATTCCACATCTCCTGGCCCATTTAACAGTTTAGTTCTCTGAAGCTGTGGAGGAAAAGGGAAAAAACCAAAACCAACATAAGATTAGAAATGGGATCTAAACGACCCAAATGAAATACTTATAAAGTGACTGCTGCATTTATCAATGTATTATTTACATCAGACACCGTTTTAAAAAACTAGCTAACTATATGCACACACGTGTGTGTGTGTACATACCTACACACATACATGTAAACTCGTAGCAATCACCTCTGATCTCAGTGGTCGCTGTGCACCTTGTGCTGCTTGCACTGACAGCACTTCCAGTTGCAACAACACCTGGTTTTAACCAGATTCCCTCCTGTTCTGAAAGCATGGATCCCTCTCTTCCCAAGTGGTAGCTCTCAAATTGAGATTTGATAAAATTAAAAAAAACCCAAACCCTTAAAAGAAGTAAGATCAAGACTCCATGCTATTCCTCAGAAATGGGCCAGTGTATTTAGTTATTATAAGAGACCTTTGCTGCAACACTACAAACTTCAGCATCAACCTGCCTGACCATAAAAAGAAACAAAAGTAGAGACAAGACTACACTGTTGATAACCTCTCTGCTAGTAATACATAAAAAAAAAAAACCAAACTCATCACACTCTGAAGACAGTCCCTTTCCTCCTGAGAAGTCAGGCTTGCCACAGAACTGGAATCACCTTCTGAAGCAGCCTCCAGAGGCCACTTCTGACCCCTTTACCACACATTTTCTGTGTCAGGTTATCAACCTGGGACACAGATGAATACCCCAAACATGCCAAATGCCATTCACAGCTCTAACTAATTCATCCATAATTCACAGAAAGTTTACGACTTACTTCCTCATCTTTTTTTTTAATTTCTGCTTGAACTTCCTCCAGCTCTTCCTGACCCTCATCTGGACTCATTTTCAAACCTTCCCGAAGCATTCGGATGCCAAAAATGGCAAACAGTGCCGTTGATACATAGTATGTGTACACACGAGGAATAACTGTGGTGGCATAGCCAAACAAAACTGAAAAGAAAACAGATGAGTCATTTAAAAAAATAAGCACAAGGATCATAACTGTTTTTCCCACATCTAAGAAATGCTTGTTAGCAAAGTCTGCAATTCAAATATCCACCGATACATAAGCAGTGTGTCTTTTGTTAGTTTTATATAATTTTCTGAATTTTTTGTACAATGACACTGTAGAAATGCCAACCATCGCTGGTCACACCGAAGCCTGAAGGCCCTCACCAGGCTGACAGGAGACAAAGCCGATGTCCTTCTGTTCCAACTGCCAGTCCCAGCAACACTCCAACTTTCCCACCCAGCACTGTGTGAGTCCTGCCTTTCTCCAAGCATGCCATGAAGCTACTGTGTAACCACGTCAGATCAGTCACAGCCTACAGCAGTAAATACCATGTTTATGTATGACTACGTGTTGGACAGCATCTCTTTCCAATCATTTCCTTTATCAGGTAAAGTCACTAGAAAATTTTCTACAAGTTAAATCTATGAGGCGTACCCAGAAATCACCCAGCTGCGTGAGTCCATGTCTGTCTTCTTTTGCCAAGTGCACATACCTGTGTTGCACTACCCCCTTCACTCCCACACGCCCCACAGACACAGGTGACCAACTTTGATCTTCCTTTAATTTAAAAGCACTGATCCCACTCCAAGACCAAAAAGCTACCTCCATGGTGCATCTACTTTATATGGATATGGAAAGCAATCAAACTAAGCCAAAACTAGTTCTTAAATAAGAAGTAATATGTATCCAAGACAAAGCATGTACTTCTTCACAAGTAAGACTAGTTGGCATTTTTGGACAAAAAAGGCCTGTATAAATGACAGGAAATTAAAACTCCACACCTAACATTCAAGGCTGCTCAGACTATCACTCACAACTGCCGCTGTTGTTTTACTCCACATGCTATCAGGTAAAAGGAAGCAAATTACCAGGGGTATTTTCTTGCACACACTTTCTTAATTGAAAAATGCACTGAGAAGTTACTACATAATCTGGAAATTAATCCACACTGCCACTACCAAAAGTTAAGATACTGAGACAAAAATTAAACAGGTTGCACTAGTAGTAAGCACAGTACATACATACATGAATAACAATATTAGTTGCACAGCTAAATAAACCAGAAGTTAAACTTCTTCTTTAAATACTGAAAATGCTGAAGTAAAGCAATGCAGGAAATTATATGACAAATTTATTTATTTATTTATTTATTAGCATCATTTGCATATAGACATAAGGACATAATCAAAATGGCAGGGCAGCTTATTTTTCCAAGCACAGCTTGAAAAAAACACCCCAAGCAGTGATTACTTGGAGTTAATTAATTTAAGTGAGCATGTTTTCATGAAATTAAGGTGGGCAAAACCCCCCAAAATTTCCAGACACAGTTTGTATACAAACAAGGCCAATAGAGAGAAGGGGGGGGGAAGAAAGCTCCTTTCTGAAAAGGAAGTAATAGTTGAATAATTGGGAACCTCTAAACAGGGAGATAAAGAAGAAAACAAAAGGTTTACGAAAAAAACATCAAGAAAGGTTTGAAGAAAGACTTAGTAGAGAAGGGAGAGCCCTAACGGGCTGGAGAAGAGACTGCAAGGTTTACAGAGTGGTGCACCACGACACTAACACTAAATGAAGGAAGCAGTGCAGAAGTGGAAGAAGAATGGAAGACTGTTACACTAAGTGAGCAACAGAGGAAATTTATACAGTGCTATCATCACACAGTACAAATGGGAACTGCTCTAAGCCTGCAATAATAATCACAGAAGTATATATGGCAATAACTACGCACCCAAAAACCATTCATAGAGCACTTGCTGAGAAGCCTGAAGCCAGTTAATCATCTGACCCTGGTGTATATAAACCAACAAACATGATTTCAATTATTTCTGCAATGGGCACGGTTAGAAGTGAGCACACACACAACCAAACGTATGCTGCGTCCCATGTACCTGCAGGCTGCTCCATTTCACGATCGCAGCTACGTAAGCACCCACAGCTACAGGCTCCTCAAGTGCCACCTGACACCTCACTTCCCCGCCAGCTCTTGGCTCTGTCAGTACCACCCACTCCAAAGGACCGTGGCATCTTCCTGTCATCTTCCACTTATGCTTTTGTGCTGGGAGCAGCAAACAGCTACATGTACAGGGATACGAGTCAGACAAGGGAAACTTGTAATCATATTAAGAATCTTTTGCCTTAGGAGGAAAACCAGAAGCCACTCCCACATTCCCTTTAGGCACAGTAATTTAGCAGAAGCTAAAAATAAGAAGGAAACCAGTGGCCTAAAAATCAAGGAAAGTGCTTAGGCCATGATCCTATTTCTTTTCTTTAAACTCATATTGAGTGCTAGGAAACATAAACACCCCATTAGCAGTAAGAGCCTAATATTCAATCTGTGCTATGATCCCCAGGAAAGCCTTCACACGCTCCCCAGAAGAGAAAGCTGCATAGACCTACTACCTTACTTTTCATTTCAGTTAAGATTTACTGATACGTAACCACGCCGCACATTTTAAGAGCTGAAACAAAAGGAGAAGAGTGCTAACCTGATAAACACGTCATCAGTCCCAAGGCAAGCATAGCACCGGCCAGCACAGTCAGGCGGTTGTACCGCATCGCCATGATGGCTGCAATGAAGAAGGTCTTATCCCCCAGCTCGGAAACGATGATGACTGATATGGCAGCCACAAATGCGTGAATAAAGCCCAAGTTAGTCTTGTCTGCTGACTCTTCATTGACAATGTGAACCGGAGCAACCTGTGAGGCCCCCTTCTGTCAGGGAGAAGGGGAGAACAACCAAAACACCCACTAGTTAATTAGGCTCGACCAGTTAGTTCACAGAAGTCCCGAGTCTTGCAGCTCTTCCATCATACCATACTGCATAGTATGACATTTTAAGTATTCACCTCTAATGCAGGATTAATGATCATTCACTAGTTGCCACCTACCTCAAATTGCTAGTTAGGCCCTTAGTAAGAAGATCAGATTGTGTACTTATTATTAAAGCAACACTTCACTGTACACGCTATTACCAGAATGTGAGATCCACTATTACAAGCAAAATATGGGGAAAAGTACTTTAACTCAGAACACTGCTGTCTTCACAACGTCTGACTGTTTACTTAATGAACTTGACCAAAGAATTTTCTAATGCAAGTATTAAGAATTAAACTCTTCACACTAAAATTGGGCAACTAGGATATCTTGGGAGAAATGTGAAGTCCTTTCAAAACTTGTCAGAATCACTTTCTTCTCTTACAGAACCTTCGCACCTCAGCCACATAAAAATTCTATGCTCTATGTCTGGAAACCAGCTTTAGGACTCTCCACTGGTCAAACTGGATCAGCACGCCCCAGCTCTGGCCTACTCACCCAAGTGTCCACTTCTGCAGATTAAGATATCTACAATCAGAAGCAAGACCCAAACCAAGGAAGTCGATGTTCACATGCTTGACCAGAAACGGCTGTGGAAGCTTGTTGCAGCACAGCTACCAGCAGAGGCAGATTGCAACGTGTTTTAACACGGTGACTTCCCAGCATTCCACCTTCAGCACTGCTGCAAGTTTTTGGTTTTTTAAAAGTTTCCATGCTCGATCTGATATACAGTGACTCCACAAAGTTCCTTCACCCTCAGCAGCACCATAAATTTTTTGGTTTTGGTATTTAAAATTTGGCATGCTCTACATGCTACCTCAAGCCATATGTCGCCCATTTTTTCATCTCTCTGGTCGATCACTCAGCAGTGGACTCCCCTAACCAAGAAGACCACTTAAAAAGTTTTAACGCAAAGGAATGATTCTGGAATGCAAAGGAACACCTGGCAAGTTTTGGGTGGTAACAAAGCCTGCTTTCATCTGCTTTTGTGAGGAAGACCTGGAGAGGTCGGCTCCCTCTCTCAGCACGCAAGCAAGAGGGCATAAAAGTATCGACTTGGTGAAAAACAGCGTTAGCCCATTTTTCATGTCGGGGCCAAATTCCCCTCTTTTCGCACGAAAAAGGCCTTCGGGAGTCCCGCAGCTTTTTCTTCTCCTTTTGTGAGAAAAAAGGGGAATTCGGGAGTCCGACGGCCTCCCAAAGGCGGGGCGTCCTGCAGCCCGGGCCCGTCTCGCCGGCGGCGGGAGGGAAGGAGGGAGGGGCTGTGCTGTGCTGTGCCGTG